CCGTCTAGGTGTTCTTTTATACAAATACAGAGCGATATTCCCGTTTTGCTGATATACAATCTACACGCACTCGTAGATTAACCATATCTACCGCTGAGGCATATCATGCACTCTTGCGTTGTACATAGACGATCATATGAGTGGCTATGAATTAGCTGCCACCTCTGAGTATGCGGTGACAACTTAATCATTACTACCATTATCTCGTGGCCTTGTTTTTCAAACAGCGTTCGACAGTCAAACTTATCTCGTTCAAAAGAACGGCACGCTAAACTGTGCCTTGCTTTCCCAGCAATTTTTATTTCGGAACACGTTATTTCTTTTGTTCCTATCTAGAGGGGCTACATTTTCTTGAACTAGTGACATTTCATAAGCGAATTTTATGTATTCTATTTGTTTGTTCAGCAGTTCAAAACACTTGCACATCTCTTCTTGCATGGAACACATAACCAGACAATCATGTGTATATCTACAGTAGAGTACTGGCCAAAAGCAATTCACTGCGGCTTCCACTCCAGACATGAAGCAAGCAAAAGTTGATATCAGCCGCTGCTCTATGTCAACCTTCTCATTCGTGCAAAGTAATGCATGAACCATTCAAAGATTCTAGCAGTTCAAACATCGCTTAAGAGAACCATCAGCCGCGGACTCGACAATTCGTACGTGTGTCACTAAATGTCATTGAAAATGGTTCAAAGCCCCAAATACTTTCAGTTGGACTTCTATTTCATCAGTTTAACCTCAGTTACACTTCTGTCATACAATTTTTTCAGAGAAGTTTCTAATGGATGCTTGAATCGTTGCACCATAGGCGTGATGGCGAATAGGGTACATTGTGGAAGTTGAAGATTTCATCAGGAATTCGTGTCCTTTTTCGAATTGTTTTTCCTGAGTACCTCCTAGTCTCTTTTCTCGACCTTGAATCTTTCTGTTGCTCATTTCGACGTAAGAAGCATATTTCTTGTCTACATGGTGTTATCGTCAAAAATTTTCTTTAACTTGGCTTTCGGCAGTGTATGTTTCAAGAACGCCCCTTTTGCTCCTAATGTCCGCAGACATCGTTAAGATAGACGAGAATACTAAGAAGTATCGTGCAGTACCACCGTAATTTCTTGGAACCTCTTTACGGAAGATTTGTACGCGCGGCTCGATTGGCCACAGAACGGTGTGTTTCTTTAACAGTGCGATATCAGTCTATAGCTGATCTATTGCTTCCGAAGCCAATTTTCAATACTGTCAATGCTGTAAAAACAACCTGCTAATTTCCGATAGACCCACTTGAGGTCATTATGTAACTCTTATTTGTGAAATCTAATGTTAGTCAAGTTCCGCCTTTGCCAGAACTGTATCAGTTGGTCCCCTTCAAGAGATGGGACTAGGTGCTGGAGCGACAAATAGTTCACATGAAATGGAAACAATTGCTCATATCACTTGTCAACTCGTTAATTTTCTCTACTCTCCCTTAACAAATTTTATATTCATGGGTGTGAGATGTCGCAGATGAGTTTAACACTTTCAGCGGGCCACCTTAATGATTCAATTAGGACACATGATATGAAAGGAGTTTTTAGATATCACTCCCTCAAACAGATAAACCACATGATCTCAATGGAATTGCGCGTGATACCTACTAAAATTCTCAGTTTCCACAACATAACCAAACGAGCTACACGTAACTATCGTCTTGTCAAAGCCCCAAAATTGTATGGATTGAAAATCGGTGCTAGTATTTTTCGAACAAATAAGTTTTTTGCGCGTTCAACGAATTTTGATGGATATTTGAGCCGTAATTGAGACCAGAATTGGTACAAGCAATGTTCTGAATTTGTTTCAGGTTTTTTGGAAGTCGGTTCAAGATGAAGACTAACAGATGGTCTCCAAAGATGACAGCAAAGAGAAGGATCTGTTGGAGAAGAATGGACGTTACGGACCGAGTTTTGATGAGTCAGTTCTTAATAGCAAAGTAAGTGCACACAGTCACGTGTTTTGTACATTCAAAAATGCTTTGACGAAAATGCAATACTCCTAAGATGGTAAAAAAACTAACATTCAGAGATCGGTCACGAAGGGATTGAATGAAGAAATCTTCTATGGAATCTGTTACAGTCTTCGCGCGGACACACTGATGGTTGGAATCAATGAAAATGCAGGTAAGCTATTACGTTTATGATGACTCAATTTTTCTAAAGTTAGTATTTCGATTTTTGATCTTTAACTAAAGAAGGATGCCCCATTGCGTCGTTCGTACAAGAACAGATACATACGTTTTCATTCCGAGTGCTCTACTCCTCGAGTCGCAGACGTACCTCAAATCCATTCGCGAATGGTGTTTCGTCAGGAAGCTGGCAATCTGAAAATGCAAGATTCTTCCTCAAGTCTTTTTTTGTGCTTAGTGAATTTCTGGAGTTCAAAGCTGATCCATCAGTAGTTCGTTCTGCACTGCATTAACAGCAAGCACTTTTGTTTTTGTGAGAATCGAAAACCTTTCTCTTCGTACTAATAATTTTGATTGCGATTCTTACACCTGTGTAATGATTTCCTTAATGCTTAGCAGCTATATTTAATGCAAGCGATTGTTGTGCTATGCATCAGAAATCTCTGTACCGGCATGATATTCAGTCATCTTCTTCCAAAATGTCAAACGATGGACGGAAGTCGAGAAAAAAGCAGCGCAAAAGTGATACGTTTTGATTCGATTTCTTTTAGAGCATAAAGAGATTCCAATAATAGTATTACTTTCAAATAGCAGGAAAAATGTATAGTTTTTGACATTCGACGAAGATCGTGCATTGAATTTAGCTTAGTCTGATTTTGGCCTCCAATGATTAGTAGTGGAACATATTTAATTCAAATACGTATAGGGCTTTTTCTTCCATTCATAAACGGTTTTTTCTCGAATCAGAGTGGGGTTTTGCAATCGTCATCGTTGAGCTCTGATGATGAAGCCACCATAAGAATACTACGGAATTACAGCTACATCAGTCGCAATTGTTTTTGTCCTGTAAACAAACGTGTTATTTTATAAATACATCGATTAGACCTCAAATCTTAAAGAAGTGAATTATGATGACGATCATCTTTGTTCACAGCTGGAAAAGGTTTTCAAGGTGCTGGAAATCAAAAGTCTAGGCTAGTGGATACCAGTGATCCGAATTTACCTTCACGAAGTGGATGTTCTTATGCGTGGTGACACGTTATGATCGTAGTTATAATTTTGAAAGAATATATCACCTGCATTTACTTTACCGTTACCTTTTAGATAGGCGTATCTCATTTCATAGTGGCCTCTACCAGTTGAAATAGTGAGTATAGAGTCCAAAGGTGTACGACAATAAGGTAGATCTTCCTGCCCCAACGGTAATGAAGCATCACGTTTTGGGTGTTGCCAAGACATCTTTACCACTTTTGATTAAGGATTGTATGTCAAGCAACAAATCAATTGAACAAGGTGAATTCCACTCAGCGGAACGTCGCAAAGTGCAGTCGATTGTCACGCTTGCTTTGGAGTGGTCAAAATTGTCTGCTGAACTAATAATTTTCCGGACCTTTTTGGAATTATTTTAAGAAATAGGGCTCTCTTCCTTCGACAAGTCCATCAAGGTCTCGAAATGTCGAATGCCTCAATTTCTGTGAATCATTATCAATTGTCGAATAGCCAGTGTAGTTGTCGATGTCTTGGAAGTTATTTTGGTGCATAAAGTCGGACTGCTTTTGGGTGCAAACTTTTTGTTGAAAATTTGTCTGGTCATTTTCTATAGCCCCGTCGATATGATGACAATATTAGTGAATTCGATTTTTGAGCTCGTGCTAGTTTGGAAAGGACGACGATGACTTCGCCCAATGGAATGGGAATATATTGCCTCACGGTGTTCCTCATGGAATCAGTAGAAGTATTCGATCTCGTTGGATCAAATTTAACACTAGTTGTTAGCTAATTTAGCTATAAGAACTCCCATTGGAAAGCGATAGTTAACGAATCGTGTATGCTCATTAGCGAGAGTTCATAACTCTTCAACTATTGTCTTATTTGATTGTCCGTTGTTTCATTGTTCCACCTTTTAATTGTGATTATGTTTACTGCGTATGTTATGAAGCGTTGGATATTCTGGATTTGTAATTATTAATTAAACAAACGAATCTCTTCTGAGGGCTGAAAATCCTAGTCTCAATGGCCTCTATTGACTTTAGATTGATCAAGAAAGCAGGCAAGCTACCAACGATAGATAAGATACACAAACTTACGGAGAAAGAATTCTGATAACAGAACGTATGAATGGGCTACGTAACTAATTAGCGCTCCCCTTACCTCTACGGAAGTACATTATTGTCTTGTTAGTAACTGGAAAATGTAGTATGGACTCGCATGAGACGACCAGACGAGGCTGTAGTCCTGAAAGGAGTTACATTCTACTTGAAGAAACAAATGATGTTTCAAAATATGTTACTTTCATCGCATCGCTCGTTAACTATGCAGAATTTTATGACTTCTTAGCACATCGTTTTCGTCTTTTGTATGTGTTGATTCGTTATAAGCTGCGTACGGCGCGACCCACTGATTCACTATGCATTAACCGCCTCGATATGGCACTGATTTCCACTTAGCACGAGGTGCGATTGGTCCGATTTCTTCACAAAAGGCATAGAAGAAAGATATGATGCTCAGCGAATCCCTAGAGCGAGGAGGACCCACTGGGCTACTCTTGCACGAGATAAGGAAAAATGGAAGAGTTGCTGGTACCTGCTCGAGTCACTCGACGACCAACGGGACGACAGGTGATACAGGTGGTCATTATTGGGGTAACTTATCACCACTAGATAATAAATATGATGCAAAAGACTCCAATCAGGCTACTTGCAGTACGAACAACGCACAATGCTACGTTTGACCCCGAGATTTCAAGCTGTAAACTATGGTACTTACATGAAGGTCGTATATTAGACTGTTATCAAATATTGTTACACTCTAGTATACGCAATATGTGGAGTGCTGTGCAAAAACGGTGTCGGTAGTAGCAACGGTTAGCACACGCTGCCGGAAAGAGTGAGATCTGGGTTCGAATCCCGGTTGACGCAAACTTTTTTGCACAGTACTCCACATTGGGCATACTATAACATCATACCACTGCAAGTGGCAGTCAAAATAAAAAGAATTTAGACTGATCATTGTTACACTACCTTATTAATGCCTGATAATTATTTGTTCGGCCATGCATCTGGTCTATTATGGACACTTATACAGTGCAATGTACGCGTGTTTTGGCCTTGACAGCCTTGTCAGTTGCACAGTGCCTTTCGTATAGCTAATCCTCTTGAAACACGCGTATATAAGTGCCCATGACAGACCTCATACATGGATAAAACTAGTCATCAAATATGTTGGAATTTAAGCGTGGTCTCAAAGAAACACTCGAAACGAACGGTATAATATCTTATTTATAAAGGGTAAAGGATGGAGCTCTCGACATTGATCAATCCATGAGGGATGCGCCATGCATTCACCTTCAATTTTTAGCTTCGTTAGAGCTAACTGAATGAAAAAATTTGAGCATATCTGGCCTTTACAATGACTCGCGGTGGCCTCCCGCTGAACCGAGTCAACCGAGCTGCTAATCCTCCCAGACAAGCTGAGACCTGTCATGTACCAATTTACCGACCCCGTAGAGATTGATGGCTTGGTGAGCCATGAACGCGAGATCGAACTATTAACCTCGTGTGAGGCGCAAAGCACCTCTAACCACTGCGCCATATGCGCTCTTAAATGATCTAATCTATATATACTTATATTTTAGTTATAGCTATCGATTCTTTTCTGTTGGACGACACGGGAAGAAGAAACGACTCCTTTACTTAGACAAGAACTTTTTATAAGAATGTTTTCAAATACTGAAAAGTTTAAATCTCTGGCAAGTGCGCTATGTAGCGGTTTTTGATACCCTTTTTGTAACACTGTAAAATTCAAGATAAAATTATGTTTCACAACGGCAGCGCGTTCTTATCATTATATTGCTAAATAAAAGATATCTAGGTATTTCTCCGTTATTAAAGCACGAAAAGTATATTAAAATGTAGAGGAAATCTTTGAATATCAGAGCAATATGTTTTACCTGGAGATCCTTGTGAAGCGGAGAAAAAATTCCTAAATAAACATCAAAAATCGCACTCCAGATGTGAGCCGCCTCAGCGCCATCGACCAATCCTCGTATCAAAACCACGCGCAGCTATCCGTAAATTAACCGAAAAAGAAACGCAACGTAAGCGCCTTGCAGTGAAACGTCTAAATAGTAAGCACAGCATTGAGATCATCGAAATTTGCGCTATCGATTATTTACACATTGAGGAAGAAATTCTGTTCTGCGAGAAATACATTCTTGTAAAACACAATGTTTTCCTTTTTCTGAAGCGTTATAAAAATACTTCTTCAGAAAGCGCCACGTAACGCGCTAGTCAAAGATTTGGGCCCTATTATTGGAAGCTAAATGAGAATTTTTTGATCAGCGAGAGTGATTGCTTCTCCATACTGTGCCGTCTAACGGAAAAGTACCTAGTTATCTTTCATCTATTATGTGTACTGCATTTAATACATACATACATACATACATACATACATACATACATACATACATACATCATGAATGCATACATCCATACATACATACATACATACATACATACATACATACATGAATGCATACATCTATACATACATACATACATACATACATACATACATACATACATACATACATGCATGCATAGATACATACATACATACATACATACATACATACATACATACATACATACATACATACATACATACATACATAAATACATACATACATGCATATTACATACATACATACATACATACATACGTACATACATAAATACAAACATATATACATACATATATACATACATATATATATACATACATACATACATAAATACACACGTACATACATGCCATACATACATACATGCATACATACATACATGTGACATAAATACTACATACATACATACATACATGCGTGCATGCATGCATTCATACATACGTACATACATACATACATGCACACATACATACACGCATACTCAATATATACATACACACCAGAATGTGCTGAAAAATCATGAAAGAAACCAAACTATTGCAAAAAGCTTGTCTGGGTTTCAGGGAAAATTTTTAAAGTCGTCAACATGAGTGAGATGTTTGGATGACATAAAGTTAGTTGACAATCTGGACTGTGCTGTCCAACAGCGTTGCTTTTATTTGTTCAAGTGGAATATCATTGGGAGCATGTTATGACTACTAGGATAAATGGACAGTGTCAAAAAAGAGTTGAACACACTAATCTCAATTAACTTTTAAGGCTTTAGCAAATGCACGATACATTGTGGCTGATCTTCTGTTTAGATATAGTGTGGATTTTCTTGAAATAACAGTCGTGTATCGTTTGTTTTGTACTCGATGGCGCTAAATATATAGGATAAATTGCTGAGTATCAATCAATCCTATGAGAATGCACTAGCATTTAACCCCACGTATAGCATCTCAAGAGTGACGCCAGGCCCACACATTCCCCCGAGACCCACGATTCCACTAGAGCTACATGTCAGTTACACAGCATATCTAGCCACTTTGATGCAAGAGTACTGAATGATTGAATACCTTGCAAACGAAGATGACTAGTGGTTCACCGAACTTTTTTTAGTTAGCTAAAACTTTAAATTTCCAGCATTCGACGCCCTGTCACAAATGCTAGCAATTAAATATATTCACTATTTTACGGCGCATGTGTCGCAGTGGTTACAGGTGCTCTGCGTCACACACAAGGTCAGTAATTTGATCTCGCTCTCATGGCTCACCAAGCCATCCATCCCTCCAGGCTCGGTGCTCGGTGAACCAGGATGGTCTCAGACTTAGCAGCACTGACTCGGCACAGCGGGAGGCATCGCAAGTCATTTTAAAGGCCAAATTTGCAGTCAGCCACGAAGTTAGAAATTGATAGCGCACCCCTCAGGGATTGGTCAGCGCCAAGAGCTTATCATTCTTTTTTACTCTCCTTTGTTTTGTAAAGATTTCAGCAACTGCTCTTCCGCCACTCTTTGACTTGTTACTCAAATTTCTCCTATAAAAAGTGTGTAAATTTTCGCCTTACGCTGGCAGAAGATCACTGAATGTGACTGATTTGTGATCGAAAACACTTTTGAGTAAACAAGTTTAGGACTAGTGTTTTTTTCGAAGTCGACTTTTTCCAATTGTAGTTCCATTATGATTAATATGTCTAGTATGAACTGTACGCCTGCTGGTATACGAACGAGGCGTCTCACCCTAAAGTTATAAAGGAATAATTGAACGCAGAAATCTTTTGTGAAGTGCGAATGTAACGTTCTTCACTGATATTTGAAATGGCAACAATAGATTGTGATTCAACAAATATCTCCTGCTAAATGTGTAAATACCGGCGAAAACGTTGAGTATTAAGTGCTAAATCTGATTTTTGGTGACTGACGACAACTTCTCAATTGCTAGAGCAGCTTTTGATTTTGAAAGGAGGGACTTGGCACCACTGTTCTAATCCTGTGTGTATTTTCTCTACATATAAATTTAGGCTTAAACTTGAGCAGAGTTAACGTTGATGAAAAATCGAAAGTAAAAGTCAGATTTGTAGAGCCCCAGTGTAATTGTATCTGTTACGAAAATTTTTAAGGAATTAAAAACAGCGAGATCGTGACTTTCTCGACAAAATTTTGAAATTTTGTTCCATTTCCTTGGGTGCTCATGTAATACTCTTGACGTAGGAAAAGTGTGCGGAAAATGACAGTTCCCTATTTGGGAAAATTTACAGGCCAAAATCTGTATTCCTCAGAATTTTTTTATTTTAATAAAATAACCTCCCTAAGTGGTGGGAACTGACAGTTGGAAAATAGAATTAGCTATTTCTTCACCACCACTGAATTCATCGTGTTCAGTATACGTAAGGCATTCCACATTAAAGTTGTCTCGACAATACAATCTGACCTCTATATTACATATTGTCCTTGGTAATTCTGTCAACTGATTGCGAAAATCCATTTTCATATCCTTGAAGAATCCTACTCGCTAGAGTTCCGAGCGATCCACAAGTGCCATGATTGATTGACTGCTTGTGATATCGATGTGAATCCTCTTAATTCGGCGGTTTCGAAACTCCAACGTGAAGTAGAGAGTTTAATTCAATATTCATTATATCAATAAGGAGAGATGACAGCAAATCATGTGTCGCAGTTAAACTGATTTTCGAAATCGCTTACGCATAAGAATTGCAAAAGACTCGAGGCAATGAAAGTACCACGAAAAAGAACTAAGGAATTGGACATCCGGAAATCTGAGCAAACATTTGCATAACACAACTCCAAAAGCTACAATAGACGTTTCTGACAGGTAATAATCCTTAATCGAGTAAATCTTCTCCCTATACCTATGACAGATGCTCCTTGTAATACCGTGATGCACATGCACTCAAATCCACAAAGATCAATGGTCAGCCAATGTCTTTCATTATTCAAAAAAAAACTCTATACAAAAAAGTATTGGTTTTAGTGTCTGGACATTATAGACGATTTTACGTCCACAAAAGCATATTTGAAGTGTTGTTAAATGCCTTTGGAATGACAACAAACGCTTTTAGTTTTTCAATCGTGTTTAATAGTTAACGGGCTCTAACCTCTCGGCTCCGTAAAATTTTCTACTTGTCACACTTAGTATTGGACCTTTGCGGGCCTTCTTCAAATTTAGAGTTTAGGAATTCGTAAAAGACACTTGCTAGTATTCAAGTGTTAAACGACCGATTGCTCCGATTACTCGCTCGGGAACGCGAATAAATTTCGTTTGATTGCTGTGCTATTAGTTGGAGAGACCTTTCCACGGGAGTAACGAAAATGTCGTGTCAGGACGTTCCCTGCCTATTACCATAAACAGGACCGTCACTGTCCGTTTCAAATGGTGGAATGTTTGTCGCATTCCAGTCAGGATTCTTGGAAGATTAGCGTACTTGCCAATATTTGCTTGCTGTAAATTAAAACTT